GTCTCTCTCTCTCTCTCTCTCTCTCTCTCTCTCTCTCTCTCTCTCTCTCTCTCTCTCTCTCTCTCTCTCTCTCTCTCTCTCTCTCCTTTTTTTTTCGCTTAACGTATCGATCAACGTGCCGTGTCGGAATGTCAATCGCTCACTCGGCCTGCGAATTCGTTCTTTTCCTTCCTCCCTCTCTCGTTCACTCCCGCGCTTCAACGGGCGGCAACGTATCTCGCTAAACGCAACCCCGCGCGCATTTTATTCGGCCCCGTATCATCTGTTTGTCCTCGGCGCATCTATATGCGGCATCGCGGCGGACTATTCTCGGAGTGAAAGCGACTCCTCTCGCACTGTTCACCGCCGCGGCGTGTGTTTCGAGAAACGCTCCGAGGTCCAGCGCGATACATTCTCCCGGCAGTGATATACAACCACCGTAGAAATCGGGGGGCGGGGGGGGAGGGGGTAAATCGGGGTGTCCAGTCGCGCTCGAACGGAGAGCAGTGATCAAAGATAAAAAAGAACTCGTCAGTCCGCAGTAACATCTATCACACTGTGTACGAACACACTCGGGGAAAAATAGATCTCTGATGTGAAAAACAATCAATATGTCATCTGTCAATAAATTCTCTTTTCTCCTATCAAATTAATTCTTTGATTTTAATAGATATTGCGAAATAAATATAAGTTATAAGTAAATAATAGAGGTAGAGCGCAAATTTATTCGAATTTGAATTGAATCGAATCATAATGGTTTTCGAATCTGAAAGATATGAAATTGAATAGTTCGAGAATTTTGAATCAATGATTCAATTTCGAATCAATCGCCTATTTTGACCGCTTTATGTCTCCATTTAATTCTCATCAATTTGTATCTTGTACATTACTGTGCATACTGGAAATATTATTGAACACTAAAATCCTGCTATAATCATTGTGGATCTTTTCTGGATGTAATTGAAAAATTATTAATTTACTGTCATAAATGTTTTTAGAATTATATGTATCTAAAAAAATAATGGACTTAAGGTTCCTAATTATTCAGCTGAGAACTTCGCGCTGACTATAATATCACAATGTCGCGGTAAAAATTAGACGCTTATTCATCCTTGTTCATCTTATCCTCATCTTTATTCATCTTTATATTAAATAACGTGCTGACAATGAAATTTTTTATTGTACCTAATTTCGTTATTATGTACTTAATTGTGCAGATATAATTTGTACCAAATTCGTAAAAATGGATGGCAACTAAAGTTATTTTGAATTTTATATGTAAAAACTCACTTCTTTCAACAGTTGTCAAATCGTGTGTTTTTCTGTCTGAATAGGCTTCATTTTACTTTTTATGTCTATTTATTGACTATCAGGAAAGGGAAGAATAATAGCTGTCTATTTTCACAAATCTTAAAGCCAAGTCTCAAGTGTCATTTTAGTCAAATACCTCTTTATTTGCAAATTATGTGCAATAAGTTTCACTGTATCATTTCGCGCTTATGACATCACGATTTCAATATGGCCGCGATTCATTAGTCAAAAGCCTTAACGCTATATCAAATCAAATACTGACTGTGTGTAAAAATCATTTATTTTAGTAATCCATTTTAGTCTTGATCTGATAACGTGTATTAAATACAATACAATCACAAATAAGTTAACAGATGATTAATAGATTCTTTCTACGCCTTCTTCCAAATTTGCTATAAAAGCCATTTTAGATTGTAATCGTTTGCAATGTAAATCCAGAAAAATTTAATTCGAATTCGATTCGTATTCAAAGAGATTCTATTCGATTCGATCTCGTCAATCTCGTAAATGCTTGAGTCTCTAATGAACAAGATAATAAAAATTGATGCATCTTTGAGTCATCGCTAAGTCTTTTAGCTTCAATTCGGAATAAGATTTTTTTACAAAACATTCTTCTTTTATATATACTACGCTCTTTCCAGATGTAAATCTACAGATTCTTTCTGCGAATCCCAATCATCAAATTTAATCGGTTTACGCAAGGTGCATATATTGTCATTGTGGGAAATTTATTGTGACGTCATTGCCGCTCGTTCTCATGTTGTACATCGAGGCGCGAAGGCGCAATTTCGATGTCTCCGAGTATTAATATCCGATGAAAATCCCTTGACGGCGGTTCGCGTCGTGTCGCGTTTTAGAGTCGAACAAACCCACCGGCGGCGGTCGACGAACGTGGGGGTCGGCAAGTACGGGGGTCGACGAAAGCGCGAGACAAATTGAGCCCGGGCTTTGTAAGATCTAGGAACGCGAGTCTGCCCGTTGTGTTGCAAGATAAGAGGGTGTTCGGGGGGAGGTAGACGAAGAAGCTGGGAGCTCCCCGCGTTTCCGGTCCTGCACCCTAAGAGCGCTACACGAACAGAGGGGAAAAGGGATTCCTGAGCGAAGAATTTCGACGACGATCTCATTGCGCTGTCGCGGAAATTCTCTTCTCCCCTGACCGGGGCCGGAGGGAGGGGGAGAGGGATTACACAATGAAATATATCTTCTCGCTCTTTCGCGCGCGCACGTCGGCACACCCTCGTTAAATATAAGCCCGCCACCTCGTAACGGCAAAGTCCCACAAATCACAATGTCCGCAAAAAAAACAACACGGGGGAAGAAGAAATCTCCCGCGTTCCGTTAGGTCCCGGTTCCATTAGGTCAACTTCTCTTTGCCGCTTTTATCTCTCCGCCAGTGTCCTCTTACCTTAATAATGAAGGGAAGAGAAGGAGAGAATGTTAGGATAGATGATCGGGATCATTCGATAATGCCACTTAGAAGCACTTTAAGCATCAGTCGGATAAGCATGCTTGCTACCTCCCAGAGGAAAATAAGCTCGCCAGAGTTCAATTGGATTTTGCTCTCGTTGCCAATCGCGCAGATCTATTTCTCTTCCAGACTGTAAGTCGAGATAATTTATGCGCTACTCTAAACTGAAAAGTCCGATCGTTTAAATTCTCTCGCTTTTTGACCTAAACCGAAATTTTGCAATTTAAGAACGAAAGTACTTTATATGTCAAAACATATGAGAATCTCATATAAATTGAAAATCATTCTTGCAAAATGTAAGAGTTATGAATTTGCATGATAACGAAGTTATTCACGAATTTATCACACGAATTTTAAAATCATACAAATATGTTACACTAATTTTGCGATAATCCAATATTTTTTTTATGATTTCTATATTTCTTAACGATAAATATTTAGAAATAATAAAATTTGTAATTATTGAAACACATATCAAGTACGCATGCACCGATATGCATACCGATAGATTGTCGGACAACGAGTTCGATGGAAGAGAAACACGATTACATTCCAATTAACGTCTGAAATCGGAATCGCTCCGAGACATCCATCCGCAATATATATCGCACTGATGTACCGTCGCTCGATGTAAAACTTAACGAACCTGACAAAATGGAAATTTTCATTCGCAAATTCATCGTTTGTTAGCCTTTGTGTAAACTCTGCTATGTAAAAGTATGAAATCATATTACAAAATTTTTTTTATAATGTATGCTATATAATGGAAATAAAGAATAATAAATCATTTATTCTAACAAACATAAAATAATTCCATGTACAATTTAATAAACATGCTAACTTCATGTTGTAAAATATTTTCTAAAAAAAATCTATTTAGATACAATTTTATAAAGGTGCTTTGAGAATGCACGTAGCTTATTTCCGTTCAAAAAGCTACTTACGCACAGGAGTTGCACTTCTAGCCATATATTTTTGCTATCGTCATCATTATCATAAATGATAGTGCATCCTTTTGAAACCGAGATATTCAAGATAACCCTTTTTATTTTACACAAAAAACGATGGTACGAACTTAATGGTGTTGTGGATCAGAAACCATTAGAGTCAGTCTGCGATGCACATGTTAGACATGTGTAACTATGTGAACTATGTTGACTGCAATACTTAAATGCATCTTATTGCAAAAACACAATATACCATTCTTACTTTTTATCAATTAGAAACAAAATTAATTGCTTAGCGAATGTAATATATAATGAATTTAATTCATCTATATACACGTATATAGATTCATACATTAAAATTTTGTTTCATTCAAATTATTCTTTGATACTACCATAAAACCTATTAATTTTGTCATATCACAATATCGCAATATAATAATACGAATAATTATACGAATGATATTGTCATAAATATTACAAAATTAAATTGAAAAATACTTAGAAAAATTTATATAGTTAATATTTTGAAAACTAAATTTAATATCTTGAAAATTGAAAATTAAATTAAAAATTCTTAATATTAAAAATTAAAAGGTTCCCATTGTTTTCAAAACTGGTTACTGATTATCGATAATTATTTTAAATTAATACTAATAATTCAATAACAATTAATACTAATAAAGTGCCCTAATAATATTTAACATCAATATGAATAAATTTAATTTTAAATTTAAGATACGAAATTCATCATCAAAATTAATTTCTATATTAATTTTATTAATTTAAGCTATCACACGTAATACTATACGTACTATGCTCTCGGCAGAAGGATGATCCTGATGTCCGGAAGGTCTATTTCCTTGTAATAGCGCCTCGAGACTCTCGATATACTCGATAGCGTTCCGCAATATCTCCACTTTCGGTAAACGTTGGTTAGGATTGTTGCTCGTCCTCCTCTTGAGCACCTCAAAAGCCTCGTTGACCTGTAATAGAAATTGCATAATTGACCATACGCGTCACCAACTGCGTGAATAATATACACCCTAATGCAGCGAGCATTGAGAGGGAAATCCTACAAAACGAATATATCGCATTTATTCATTATCAGAATTTCCTGAAACTATCGAATACACATGTTGGAAAACATCTTGCAGTTATAGCGAAAATGATCTCGATACTAAAATGAATAAATGACTAGCGGGCACTGTGATTTTGTATTTAATTACATAAATGACAGAGACAGAATTTATATCAGAGTAATTTGTCAAATTTAACAAGAAAGTCTCTCTGTGAGGCACCCAATCAGATAAGTCTCTCATACTTTTTACAAAAATTGCTATGATTTAGTTGATTTGTATGAGATCTAAATTTTCTTGTATGTATCGTTAGATATTGTTATAAACTTTACGTACGACAAACAATTTTACAAAAAACAGCGATACGTTTTAACATTTAAAATTCTAACTAAACTAGCGAAAAATTTTTGAGTGCACTAAATTCATATCCGACAAAGTTATTCTTTTCCTTTTATTGCATAAAAATATAAAAATTCATCATAAATGTCCCGTTTTTTTATTTTATTCACCTTTTCCCGATGTTACATATGCAGGCATACGGGAGTCAGATTTCAAACGACTCTCACCAAGATTTAACACTTAGGCCCATCCTCGAAACACTATTCGTCATTCGAATCATCCAAAGCGGCGCTTAGTCGACGATCACTTCGCGTGCGCAGATGTTTTCTTTCCGTCAGCGCGCTCTCTTTGAGGTTGTTTACTTCGAAAACACGATTCGCGCGTGACGTGCTTTAAGCAATTATGAGCAGACCGACCAAAACAGCAACGTTCAGTAAACGAGAAACGTGATATAGATGCAGTTACAACTGATTCTTCCGCCATTTCCGCGGCATACATTTATTAATTTTTAAAAATCAAGATAGTTATATAATCGAGTTTATTAAAAAGCTGTAATAATTCATAAAGCTACTCTTTATATTGTCAACACATTGAAGTGCATCCTAAATGAAAAAAAAAACGAATATTTATGTTATTATTAGAGAAAAAGATTGTTTATTGAACTAGCATATGAGCATATTTTAAAAATTAGATCTAGATTAAGAATTCTACACACCATCGTGTTATCAGCTCTTTAAAAAGATGTGGATTGAAGAACACACACACACACACACACACACACACACACACACACACACACACACACACACACACACACACACACACACACACACACACACACACACACAGTACGTACGTA